GAGGTGTAAAGTTTAAAAAACCTTCGAACTGTGTGGAATTAGGGAAGTTGAATTCCCTTTGTCTGCAGGGTGAAGTTATCCGTGTCGAATGCAAGGCTTCTCCAAGAAAAGAGGGAAGGTCACGTCATTGCGGAGGCTGAATACGTTTTAAAAGTTTCCTTGGCTCGAGACGATGATTTGCACGTAGTTCTCTAAATCAGGGTCCCTTTCCCCAGAAGAGACTTTATTCTAGAGAAGTACCCATCCTAAAGAAACCCTAAACCCGACAGCTCCAGTCTGCCCACTCCAAGGGGTTGGTTCTGCTTGGAAGAAGGTCCCCACGTGCCCCGGTATTAACGGTTTAGGGTTTAGGGTTTAGGGTTTAGGGTAAACCCTAAACCCTAAACCCTAAACCCTATACGGTATAATGCACTGGTCCAGTAGATAGCCGTGAGCGCTGTTGGCATTGCACAGTCCCTAGTATCGACGCCTGAACAATCAGAATAAGCTTTTCGTGTACTTTATAAACAGAAGAACATGGGGGACATGAGGAAGTATATATCTATTGACTCAGATCCCTGTACCCCAAACATTCCCCGTGTCCTGGACCCCAATCCCAGACCCTCATCCCGTACCTAGCAGTAGTGTAGGTAACGTTTAACTTTTCGGGGCATTATAATCCCCCAAAAAACTTCAGAGGTTCACCTTTGGATCCCCCCAGGATACTGGACAAGTAAGAACCCTGAACCCTAAACCCTAAACCCAATCCCTAAACCCTAATCAGAACGGTGAGGGAGGGTAAAGCCTCGTTTTCGAATGAGGACGCCGGGGGCAACTGGTTTCCGAAAAAGGGGCCACCCTGCCCTCTGCCCTGCCTCGAGCGGCCGCCGACACGAATAGTGTGTGCAAAGCTGTGAGGGGAAGCAGAGAGCAACAAAGCCCTCCTTGAGGGGGGTTTGGGAATCTGCCAGCGCAAGCCCCGGTCCCTGGAATCTGCCAGCCTGGGGCCTCCGATCTTCGGGTTCCAAGCCGAAATCTGCCAAAACAAGGCAGGGCAGAGATGGCCAGCCCAGGCAGGGCTGGGCAGGACAGGGCAGTGCAGGAATCTGCCATACTCTCCCATAATTGCTGGCCCGAAAATCAGAAGGGAACCTGCGGTGAACCCTAAACCCTAATTGAGAATAATTGGGGTGGTTGGGGCGGGGCTACATGCCGACGCAAGCGCGCGATAAGTGGGTGCGCCCCTATTCCTAAAGCAAAAAGCACCCACCGCGCGCATACTGTCTGCACACCCTATACCGTCAACGCTGAACCCCTAAACCCTAAACCCTGAACCCTAAACCCAATCCCTAAACCTTAAAGAGAGCCCCTATCCTGCTGGAACCTATGCAGGTTCCTGGAACGCGAGGTTCCTGAGCTCCGAAACCGACTCGCCAAGGCGAGGCTTAGGGCTTTCCGGGTTGAAGCGTCTCTTTTTTTCAGGGTTTAGGGTGTAAGGGTCTGACTTTAGGGGGTTTAAGGTTCCGGGTATAAGGTTTAGGGCCTTAGGGTTTAGAGGTTTGGGGTTCAGGATTTTAGGGCTTAGGGTTTAGGGGCCTATGTGGTGACACCACTTCGGGACGTTTACCTCAACTGCAGTGTACTTGTGCGGGATGCTATAAGTAGTAGGTTGTGGTTTGGACCAAGACCCCACGCAAGTGTAGTGGTATAGTAGCGAGGTTCACGGAACACAATGCAGTTTGCACTGGGGTTCGAATGTGGGCATTTCAGAAAAGTTGTGTTCTCATGAGGACCAAACCTTCTTAAGTTCTAGAGATCTTTTGCTGACTCATTAGCGAATATAGTTCGGCACTAGGGATTGTAGCTGTCGCGCAAAGTGCATTCAGAAAGAATTGATACTAATGGGCAGCATGGTCCTTGATCTGCCTCTGAGGTTATGCACATGGAAACATCACAAGAAAATGCCAGGGTTTAGGGTTTAGGGTTGAGCGTCGTCATCGTCGCCACCACCACCGCCACCACCGCCGCCGCCACTGCGTCAAGCACACTACAAAGTCTGGTACATGGTCTGTACATAACAGTATATAGGAAAGTGTGCAGTATAGTATATAGCATAGTACACAGCTTAGTATATGATAAACCATACGTAGAGTCTAGTACAGTATAGTACGCAGCGCGGCATATCCTACAGTAAATGTGTAACGCATAATGTAGTGTGTAGTTAGTATAGCATACAGAAAAGTATAAAGTATAATCTACAGTGTAGCATATGGCAAGTTCTGCAGGATGTGTATACAGTCTCGAATAAAGTATATGCAATATAGTGCGAAGCATAGTAGAGACAGAGAGTTCAGCAAACACTATATGTGTACATAAAAAAAAATATGTAGGGTATCGTGCGGGCTAGTTTAGTTTCGTAGGGTTAAAAGGGTTGCCGTGAAGCTCTAAATGCCAGAGGCGTCCGAGGAGCGCACGGCGCTTCAGCAAAGGGCACTGGAACGAGTCAGGCCGCGATCTGTCTGAGTTTAGAGCTCTCTATTTGAAGGTCCCTGGCTGAGGCTCCTTTTTCGAGCCTAAACTTGGCCCTAACACCCTAAGCCCTAAACCCTTAAACCCGTCGCCCTGAGACTATGTAGGGTCTCTGTTGGGTTTTCGAGTTTGCAGAGTTTCCATGGTTCAACTTGGCGTATCTTACTTGATTATGGGTGTTGGGCTCTAATGGTTTGTCGAAATAAGGTTAGAACTATAACGCTTTCATTAAGGAGAATGTCGGTTTGAACTAAAAAAGTGCTGTGCTCGTGAGTGTAGGGTTGAGGGCTTGCGGTTTAGAGTTCAGCCGAAAGGGTGACAGTGTTCGGCAGAAGATGCAGAAGATCGAAGAGGTGCAGGTTGTAGTGTCATATGAGCTACCGTCGAAACAGGGGGCTTGACGTCAAGTCAGCTTCATGTCTTTGAGTCTTTGATGAGAGGCATCAGGCACGACTCAGGTCTCCTGGATGGACGATTTAAGATATGAGGTTTGGCAACCAGCGTTTCCTGTTCATTTGTGATGCTTGCTGTCTCGGGAGAGAATTTGCAGCCTTTCCGTGCCTGCATCTTATCTTTCGAGCTTTGGCCCATGCATCCGGACCAGCACTGTGCATGCGGCAACCACATGCCGACAGACGTGCTGATGCCACACCGCATCTTCCTCACAAGTTTCTGGAAGCCCCAACTGCAAACCGTCACGCCGGTACAGACAGTACTGCAAGGCGAAGCTTTGAAGAGCCACTTGACGCAAAAGCCTAGAATCTAAACTCGCAACACCCCAAACTCAACCTCAAGCCACAAAACTTTCTACCAAACCCCGAGCCCTAAGCCCTAAGCTGCAAAACCCTGAACTCTGGCATTCGGATTTTGGAGCATGGAGTGGGACGACGAAGAAGAGGTCCTGGATGTGGAGGATTACTTAGATAGCCAGGACCTGAGAGAAGAAGTTCCTACGGCTTTAGCGGTTTGGGGTTTTGAGCTTGAAAGTTTCAGGGCTTATGGTGTTCCGTAAAGGGGTTCTACAAGGGATCTATAAAGGTTTAGAGTTTTGGTTTTAGGGGGCCTTGACGGTTTGAGGGTTTAGGTTGGAGGTTTTATGGAAGCAGAGACGGCGCAGCGGTTCCAAAGCCCAAGCGTCAAAGGGTTTATCGGTTTAGGGTGTTGGTGTCGGTGTTGGTGTGGGGGTTTACGGTTCAGCGTTTCGCATGTTTAGCAAACCAAATCCCAAGCCCTAAGCCGCGAGCTGACCTTGCATGCACTGGCAGTTGCGGGGGCATGCTTTGCCTGAGAGGCCGTGATTTGTGTTGTTGGTCCGGGGGTGCAGGGTCCTTTTTGCACAGTTGTTCGCGTTGCGAACATGTTCCAAACACTCGTATTGACGGCAAGCTGGCCTGTTTGCACATTGCGGCCCGAAGATGCTATCCCCTTTAGTCTAAGGTATAGCGCTGAGTCAAAGGGTTTGGGAGTCTGTATTTTGTGCAACATGAGCTAGCTCTTACGCTTAACCCCGTTATTTGGCTCAAGAAAAATGCACGTGTCTTTCTGGCTGTCTTGCCTAAACTATAGGTTATCAGCCGTAGGTCTCACCTTTTTCGTGATAGAAGGTTGCAATGGATTCAGCTCCCGTACGCCCTGCAGGCATTCCTATACTTCACTCGGCAACGGAGGAAGCGCCTTCCCTTCCTCCTTCCTGCTATGTCCGTGCAGGAAGATAGCACGGATCAGTTGGCCGTCGCTCCCCGACAAGGTGAAGCAGTCATGCCTTTCACTCAAAGGTCGCTAGCAACATTGGGAATGGATGACCCTAGGCGAAGAATGCAAAATGCGACTTCGGAATGGGATTACGTGAACACCCCTTCCCCATGCTCACGCACCCTTAGCAGGGTCGCCAACAACTGTGAAGTCAATGCTATATTCACCCAGTGAGATCGCTCAGGTTGCAAACTTCTATCACAATCAGATCCTCGCACCTACCCTCAATCAACAAGTCCTTGTCAACAATGATACAGGACCTGTAGCTGCTGAAGCTGAAGCAAGGCATTCAGCAATCATGAATGAAAGAAGTGAGCAGTTCAGGGAGCAATTTAGCAAGCTACAGCCTGGAGCGATTTCGGGTGTGTCAAGACTTAGATTGGGGTTTCTTCAAATCCAAAATCGTCTTCAACATCACGAAGGCTAACAAGCATTCTGAAGAAGTTTCCCAGATGCGTAGAGATGCCATGGATGTCATATGCAAGCTTCATCAAGCAGAAGCTGCAGTGACTGATGTTGTGCATCACGCCGATCGAGAGCTTGTCGCAAAGACTGAAGTTCAGAGCGCTGCCAATTCCACGTCAGGTCAGTTATGCCGGCTAAGAACAGAGATGGCTGAGTTCATATCGCAAAGTAACACCATGACGAGAATGGCAGAAGCCGCGAAAATCGTCTTGCCTAAGTTTCCGCAGCCCGAAAGTGGCGCCTCCGCGTTAGGGAGGCCGTTGTGGCCGCATCAGGTCGCCCAGATGAGTCATTCGAACGGCTCTCGAAGGTGTGGGAGGAAACCACAACGGAGGAGATGCTAGGTGACCCTGACGGGTTCACAACTCTCGATGCAAAGATCCTCTCAGCAATCACCAATGTGCTCGAGGGCGATTTCGCCAGACAGATTGACACGTTTAAGGAACGAGAGGGACTGCATTTTGCAGGTTCGGCATCCCAAGCCGAGGGATGCGCGTTCCGGAAGGATACGCCGAGTTATGACAACAAGTGTATCAACTCCACTTACCCTGCTCTGGCATCTGTCAAGTTTTGGGGTTCACCGGAGTTCTACTTCATCCCTACGTCTCCTCACGAAACCAACTGGAGACTTGTCACACAGGAAGCGCGTGAGCAGCTCCGCGAAAAGTATCCTGTGAACTACAAGCCTAAAAGCGATGATCAGGACATTCGGGATGCCCAAGCTAGTGCTAAAATGCTTCGGTCCACGATTGAGGGGATGTATGAAGGTGCAACACCAACTTGCAGGTTCTGTTGCAAGACCGAGTTTGGTTGCGACAAATGCATTGACGCTAACCTAACGGTTGGTAGTCCTGCTGGAGAGGCCAAGTCTGCTAACGACATTGACATGGAGTGGATTGCCGATACCGGGAGTGCTCAGGAGTTGATTTCCAAGAATGAGCTACTTTAAGTCCAGCAGACCTGTAAACATGATCACCGCCAACGGCCCAAACTATGCTGATCGGCACTGCAACATCAACATTCCTTCAATAGGGGCTACCGCACAGCCTCATGTGTTCCCAGACTCCCCATCTGTGTTGTCCGACAGAAATGCATGGAAGAGGGATTTGACTTCGTGTGGAGAGCTAACTGTAGACTACAGTATACCCTTCTTCAGAGACGTTGAGGGAAACAAGATCTACAAGGATGTTCGAGATAACGCACCGTATCTCAAGTCAAGGAAAGAGACTGTTGCTCTACCCGCACGTCGTGCTCCAGTTTGCATTGAACCTGCGCCGACTGCAAAGTCTGGCAGTGTCGCTGTTGAGTCTGAGGAGTTTGCCAAAGAACTGCTTGAAAACAAAGACTTCAACTACAAATCCTGCCTGAAGTTGTTCCGTTCATTGAAGTGCAAGCCTGCGAAGAGCAACAGATTAGCCATCATTAACACAAAGAAGTCAGGAAACAAAGATGTCGAATACATGGTCCTTGGTGCCTTTGCGCATACGACGCAAAATCAATGGGCCTGTAAGTATTTGAATGCGTTTCCTGAAAGCCATGGCATGGATAGTGAGTGCTCTGAAGTGATCTTTTACGTAGATTTTCTGGTGCTACTCTACATGTAGCAGGTCGGCCGCAGTCCCGACAGCATTCACAAAAAGGTGTGTATGGCCTGCTCAATTCTTTTGCGAGTTACAGCCTTTTGTCTGCATCACAAAGTGATGTGACCCCTACGTCTCAGCAGCTAGTCTTTCCTTACACCTGCCTTCGCCTCTACCGTTGACTCAGATGCGCGGAGGGTGTATTTTGTGCAAGATGTAGCGAGCTCTTACGCTTAAAGCCGCACTTGGCTCAAGAAAAATGCACATGTGTTTCTGGCTGTCTTGCCTAAACTGTAATACATAGGGCCGAGTTAAAGGGTTTTTCTACCCGGTTGGACACAGAGACCTCGTCTGGCGGAGTCCGAGTTGCGAGAGCGTAAACCTTAAAACCCCAAAGGCAAAACCCCCCTAAACCCGAAAACCCTAAATCCTGAACTCCTAACCCCCCGCTCCAGGTCTCGCGCTGGAGTGCGGTGGAGGATCCGCGCCATCTTCAGTCAGACAGGTCCGGGACCCGAGCTGTGTATTTTCTGATATGGAACTACATATTACATTACGTTACACTGCACTGTATCATACTATGGTACCGTATATATTGTGATATAAAAAGATATAATATGACACAATATAGTAGTTTAAGGTTGAATTGAATATTATGTTTTAGTATATCATGTCAGCTTGTATTATGCTGCTGTACTTTAGTATGCTGTACAATAGTATGTTATGTTGTACTAATTTGCTTACATATATATATAGCATGGATAAAGAGGTATAGAGATAGATAGGTTGATGGATTGATAGACATATAGGTAGGTAGGTAAGTAGGTAGGCAGGTAGATAGGTAGATACGGCTTCTTAAATTTGTCTATGAGGTTTTGGGTTCTAGGTTTAACACTTAAATTTAGCAGCCACTATTGAGGTTGATAAAGCACATGTCTGACCTACGATCCTGTACCCAGTACCCGATTCCATTATTGAGGCTAGTACAACCGGGGTTTAGGGCTCTGTTTCTCATGAAGCAGAACTAGGTTCCCGCAGTAGTACCTTTTCTCTTTGGGGTCCTTTATTTAACCCAAACAGTAGCAAAACGGGTACCCTTATTATTCAGGGGCTACTGGGGAACCTAGAAAAAAAAGGGTTCGGATGGCTCAGGGATTAAAGCTTGAGGCGTTTTCATTCGCACAGTCGTACAGATCCGGAGTGCCTCCGACACCGCATCCTGGTTTGCGAGGAGCTCGGCGCTGGGCCCCGAAACCCTTAAACCCCAAACCTCTAAGCAACCCTATCAATCCCGATAAACCCTTATAATGATTCTTGACCATAGAATATCCCGCTATATCCCGCTGACCCCAGCTATTGTAGTGGCCTCAATTTATAATCAGTAATAGTATTCCTTTGTAGATCCGAAACGAACCCAAAGCTGAACATAGAAGCCGGCATCATATTACCCGCTGGGCAGGCTGAAAAGGCCGATCGGCCGAGCAACAGCCAGCCGACGGTCACACCCGAAGCGGTCTCTGAGGCAGCGAATACAACAAAGCCCTATAAACCCTAAGGTTCTTGTGGAAGGTTAGAAACATGTAAACGATACACCCGAAACCTAGGGCGCCTGCATTGTGCCAGTGCGCGAGTCGAGATGCAGGGCTTCACGGTTGGAGATTGGTGTGCTTTGGGATTTCTTTGAGGTTTAGGGGTTTTGGGTTTTGGGATGCTAGGGTTCAGGGCGGTAGCAGTAGTAGAGGTGGCGAAGATTTGTTTTTCAGTTACTGAGCGACTGGCAATAGTAACCCAACGTGCAGCTTGGTGCGCTGATGGAAGTTCGTCTTTGAGACAGGCAAGTACTTTAGCCAAGAAGCAGCTGGTGAATCCACACATGGTATCGGCGATGTTTAAGCTCGCTCTCCCGTCTCTTTCCCTATTTCCAAGGCCTTCTCTGCTCGGGGCCACGACAAAATATCTCCCAGAGAGCCCAATACCCTTCAATTACAGAATATAGCTTACATCTTACGGCGAAGCCCCTTTATAGTTTAAGGTATGTTCCCTAATTAAAGGGTATTGGGCTCTCTGGGCTCTGGCGTACCGTGGAGAAAGGCAAACAGCCTTGGTCAGCCATCAGGGGCTGAGTGGCCTCAACCTTTGGCCCACCGCGCACAGTGAACTCCGCGCACTACATGTGCCGACAAGGTGCGAGTACTGCGTTAAGTGGATTGCCAACACACCCCACTTCAGAAGGCAGCCAGAAGCTTGGGGGAAATGTGCAGACCGTCGGCAGCGGTACGTGCGTGATGTTGAGAAGGTGGACGTGCCGACGGCGGCGATTCCGGGCAAGGCCAAGGGCAGAGATGAGTCACGGGATGGGCGAGGCTATGGCTCAGGTCTGGCACGACCGGGCACGAAATGTGGGGTCAACTGTCCTTCTTGGGTCCTGTCTTCGCTCACATCTGTAGAGATTAAAAAGCCGAAATGTTTCAGCCACTGAAACCCTAAGCCCTTAGGGCACTAGAGCCTCAAACTTCCGGAAGCGGCAAACTCATACACCCTGAAACCTGCAAGCCCTAGAAGCCTAAAGCCCAAAGCCCCAAATGCTAAACCAAGACCATTCGTGCGAATCTTTGGTTCGTAGCATGTGATGATTATATGATAGAATCCTCTTATAGCGACTTGGCAATGGCTGAGGAATGAGAAGTAGTAGCCGCATCCTTGTAGCTCCGATAAAATACTAGAATATACCCACAAAAAACTCTGAACCCTGATTCCCAAACCCCAGACTAACTTATTTAGGCACCTATATTTCATTCAGTCAAAACCAAGAGCACGGTAAAGGCTGTTAGGGTTTTTGGGGGTGTAGGTTTTGTTTGGGGTTTAGGGTTGAACCCTAACCACAGTCCGCCTAACAATGCCACGCCTGCTGCTGATACTATTGAATCTCGCCATGAAGACGACTATGCGGCCCCCCGGATTCAGGGCCCAAACCCTGAACCCTAAAGCCTTAAGCCCTGCGCCCTAAATCTCTCGAATCGCAAGTATATAATCCTACCACATCGCCAAATCCAGCCCCGAAACCCGAGCCCAAAGCCGCAGTCCTAAAGGCCTAAGCCCCAAAAAGCAATCACACATGTTTAGGCCCTATACACTGCAGCTGCAGGTGCCTCGTGCCATCTTTCACATCGTCAAGTCTGTCTTGGAAACTCAAGTGCCGGGTCCAATTTCCAGGGTTGGGGCTCGATGGACCCACTGCAGAAGCAGGCTTAAGGCCCGGACATGTAGGGGTATTTCTCTAAATTGGGGTCCGGTTTAGGGTCCCTTTTATAAGAGTGCCGTACTATATTGCGGACCTAAAAATTAGAAGGGGCCCTAATTTAGAGAACTACACATAGGGTTTGCGGTGTGGCTCAGCATTTGGAGTTTAGGATTAGGGGTGGGTTAAGGAATCTTGGTAGTCGACAACATGATTCCTTGCACGGTTTAGGGTTTAGGGTTTGTTACTTGCCAAGACTTTGAAAGACGCCGACTGTTGCTGTCTTAGCGCTCTGGCGTTGAGGCTTCTTGTCAGCTAGTCCAAGCAAATGTAAAGGATGCTGGGGATATTGTGGGTTTGCTTAAGTCTCTTAAGTCTAGAAATCCTCAAGCCGAAACACAAAAGGTTTAGCCCTCAACCCTAAACTGTTTAGGGCTTTGGTTCTCTGCCTAAGCCGCTCAATCTGTTCTACTCTGTTATGATCTGCTCTACTCTACCATACTATACCGTATTGTATTATACTATATTATAATATACATGTAAGCTACTAAGAACCCTTAACCCTAAACCCTATACTAGGCCTCGCCTGGAGTGTCCGAGTGTGAGAGCCGAAACCCTATAAACCCTAAACCCTGAACCCTCTACCCTCCTTAACCCCAAACCCTAAGAACCCTAAACCCTATAAACCATAAGAGCCCTAAACCCCAAGAACCCTAAACCCTATAAATAACCCTAAACCCTAAACCCTAAACCCTAAACCCTAAGAACCCTAAACCCTAAACCCTAAACCCTAAACCCTAAACCCTACCCCGGAAGCCTTCGGCTCGAAGCGGAAGCTCTGGCAAAATGAAAGCAGCAAGGATCGATGGTGAAACGTTACATCTGTGCCCACGAGCTCTTGCCGGTAGAAAGACGAAACGGTTTGGGGTTTTAGGGTTTTTGGGGAGAGTTTAGGATTTCAGTAAGTTCTCATTCAGCACACTGCGCATTCCATTGTATATTTGCCTGGCGGCTTCCTCTGCGGGTTGCAATCGCTCTAAGGAGCACACTAAGCAATACGGGAACAAGGTTTGGGATCTGCGCTTTGGGTTTTGGGCTGGCCGGCCAATTTAGGCTGGTGGTGGTAGTGGT